TCTACCCAATTCCATAACTATTTTTGTGGTTAAAATCTCACTTTTATAAAAATCTAGGTTTTTTATCTAAATTTTTGATTTTTAAAATTTACTAGTTATAATCTACTTATAATCTATGTATTTAACTCAAGGAGTGTGGAATTAACTTACCTTTCAATTGCTAGTTGAAACCCCCTTCTCAAAAGTTTGAAATCTCCGAGAAATGGAGAGAAAACGGGCAAAAGTGGTGAATTCCAGTTCTTTTAAGCTTTCTGCCAAACATGCCTTTCGCACCTGCGGAGGTTGGAACGCACCTGCGGCTCCGCACCTGCGGAAAATTCCCCGCAGGTGCGAGTTCCACTCGACTGGCCAATTCTCGCATATACGCGTCTAGCCTCGCACCTGCGCGTTCGCAGGTGCGCCCAATATTCCGCACCTGCGGTGGCAGGCCTCCCGTTTCTTTTCCGCTTCTGTGAAGAAATCTCGCATCTGCGAGTGTCGCGCCTGCCAGCTTCTGTCGCATCTGCGAATGTCGCACCTGCGCCTTGCCAAGCGCAGGTGCGATTCTGACAGTAGTTGGGAGTTTCAGTTTGGGCTCCCAACTTCCAACTTGGTCCGAGCCTCGTCCGGTTGACACTCGAGGCCCCCGGGACCCCGCCCGAACATACCAACAAGTTTGAAATCATAAAACGGACTCGCTCGAACCCTCAGAATGCGTAAAATAATATCAAATCTAAGAATCATACCCTAAACCAAATTGATTCAAACTTAAGAATTTCAAGTTCTTTAATTTATTTCCAATGCGCCGAAATATACTTAAACTACTCGGAATGACACGAAAATTTGAGTGCAAGTCTTAAATCACTATAAGGAACTATTCCCAAACTCGAAATTTCAAACGGGCCTCAATCACTTAAAATCCTACTCCAAACCAAATTTAAAGAATTTTAAACCTTCAAATAGTTGATTTTTACTATTAAGCGTCAAAACACTCTCAGGTTATCCAAAACCCGATTCGAACATACGCCCAAGTCCAAAATCATCATATGAACCTATTGGAACTGTCAAATCTCGATTCCGAGGACGTTTTCTCAAAATGTTGACCGAAGTCAAACTTGTCCATTTAAAGCTAACTTAAGGAACCAAGTGTTTCGATTTCAATGCACACACTTCCAAATCCGGAACCAACCATCTCCGCTAGTCATAAATTAATAAAAGCATATTCGGGGAGTTTTATTTTAAGGAACGAGTTTCTAAAAGTTAAAATGACCGGTTGGTTCATTACAAGCTAGCTCTAGCAACTAGAAAGTATTGTGCAACTAACGAGCAACATCAAAATATTTGTAATTTAAAGCCCATAATATTTCTAACATTTTGAATAACCCATAATAGATCTAAGTTTTAACCGGCTTTAGAATCAGAACAATTAAAGGATAAGCAATTAGCAATGAAATTTGCAAATAGGAAAAAGAAATAATAGATAGTATGAATCTTGTAAGAGAAAAATGATGAGTTGCACGAGGGCTGCCTGCTAAATACCTAAACCTAACGGAAAGATACAGCTAATGGTTGTATACGTTGCTGCTGCCTGCGAATTGTGACTAACATTTAGTAAAAAAGTTCGGTATTTTGGTTAAACCGAATATCAATATCTTAATACCGCGGACTGGACTGTACCGAAGTACCAAACTTTCAAAAAATCCATACCGAAGTACCGAAACCGAAGTACTGAATTAATTTGATCCAATCCGATTTTTTAGTTTTTTGAATTTTATGCCCACCCCCTTATTCGATGTCCTAAATCGTGGCGCGAAAGCCTTTTATATATGTTCCGCGAAATAGTTGTGAGTTAAAGAATCATGAAACAATGACCATTATAATGGAATTACTTCACAATTAAGTGTGTAGATCATTCTAAGTAAAATATAAGCGGAACATACCGAATACTTTCTTTGTTCAATTATCAGTTATCAATTATCATTTCAGTTATCAGTTATCATCTATCATTTTAGTTATTATTTATCAGTTATCATTTCAGTTTTATTTCAATAATTATAAAAATAAAATTACATATTTTTTTTTTTATAATTTACGAAATTTTTCAATAATTTTATTAGTTAGTTGCTTGAAATTTATAGCAATTGTTCTTTTGGAGGGGCGAGTATACGAACTCGCTAGTCGTTAAAAATTATGTCTTGTCCAAAAATTTAATAAGGATACAAAAAGTTTCTATTTTAACACAAAGGTATAACTCTGGTGGTAAATTTATCAATTAGAAAACTTAAAAAAGAAAAGTCATAATATCTTTTTTTCCTTTTTCCAAATGAAGCCTAAAATATCTAGAAGACATGAATCCTATTTTGTTTTTCTTTCATTATGAGGAAAATTAAGAAGAAGTAAATAAGTCCACTAGCAACCATGCCTCCAATAGGATAATTTTTGCTTAAAAAAATTGTACTGGGACCCACAGATGAATATGACATCACATGATTTTTTTTATTTAATAACAAAAATGCATTTCATTACAGTCCTAGTTCTGGTCAACATTTATTGACTAATTGCATCTGCACCCTTAATTAACTCCAAAACTTAATACTACTAACAACTCTTAAATATTAAAATAAAGTTTCCAAATCTATAAAAACCAATCACTAACTTCCTCATTCACTTCCTCTTCGCACTTCCCATTTATTCGTCAGAATTTATCAGAACTCTGCAAATCTTAAAACAGACACCACCAAAGAACTTGCAAAGAATGTTTTATTTTTCTCATTTAAATTAGATTCTTGATTAAAGGGCTTTTTGGGTATTTTTCAGTTGTAGTTCACTGTTGTGCTTTGCCCACTTTTTCTTAAGACTTGTGTTTGTTTGTGTTCACATTAGAAGGGGAAAATAGACTGGAAGATTTAAAAGAGTAAAGGGTTTTGAAAAAAACCATTTTCTTGGGTTTATTGTTTCCCTTCTTGGGATGGAGCTAAAGAAGGAGAGATTTGTAAGGTATGTGATATTTTTAGTTTTGGGTTTTTGTCTTTTTTTGTTTTTTATTGTTCTTTGATTTAGTTTATGTGATTTGGTAAATTGTGGTGTAATAATTTGAAAAAAAAGATTTTGTTTTTTAATGTGTTGAAGAATTAAGGACTTTGGGTATTGAAAGATTTGATTTTTGTATTATTGTATTGCTTTTAGGAGTAAGGAGAGGTTTGTAAGGTATGTGATATTTTGAGTTTTTGTTTTTCTGTTTTTGTTTGTTCTTTTGGTTTAGTTTATGTGATTTGTTAAATTGTAGTGTAATAATTTGGTAAAAAAGAGATCTTTTTGTAATATGTTGAAGAATTAAGGACTTTGGGTATTTAAAGATTTGATTTTTATGTTATTGTATTGCTTTTAGGAGTATGTTTTTCTTATTTTTGATGCAAGATATTGAGATAATTTGCATTTAGTTTGAAAGTTTATGTACTCGCTGAAGGGTAGCCTTGGCGTAACCGGTAAGGTTGTTGCCATGTGACCAGGAGGTCACGGCTCGAGCTGTGGAAATAACATATTGCAAAAATGCAGGGTAAGGCTGAGTACAATAAACCCTTGTGGTCCGGCCCTTCCCCGTACCCGCATATAGCGGGAGCTTAGTGCTTGGGCTGCCCTTTTTTTATGTACCCTCTTTTAATGAAATTTTTATTATAAGATGGATTTTCCTTTTTTGCTAATAGTTGATTTATGCATTTGTTAGGTTCTACTCCGGTGAAAAACAACAGGGTGGCTTTTTGGGAGGAAAAGCAGACAGTTCAAACTTAGAGAAATCATCTTCGGGATATAGATATTCATCTCCTTTATACTCTGATGGCAGATATAAAGTCAATGATACCCTTAAATTTGGGAGGTCTAAGGTGTATCCTGAGGACCACAACGGGTCATGGAGGAAGCGAATACTTGATCCGGGGAGTGATATTGTAATCCAATGGAATAGGATTTTCATTATATCTTGCTTGCTGGCTTTGTTTGTTGACCCGTTGTACTTCTTTTTGCCCATCATACAAGGAACTAAAGAGTCGAGTTGTGTGAAATCAGATTTGAATTTGCGAATTGTTGTCACCATTTTCCGAACTATAGCTGACTTTTTCTATCTGTTACATGTGTTCATTAAATTCCGGACTGCTTATATTGCCCCAAATACAAGGGTATTCGGGAAGGGTGAGCTTGTCATGGATCCTAAAAAGATTGCTCTCAGATATTTAAGATCAGACTTTTTTGTTGATCTGATTGCAACCCTTCCTCTGCCTCAGGTATGTCGTTCCACTTCATGACATTCAAATCAATACATTTTCTTTCATGTCCATATGTCCAGATATTAGTGTGAATATTAGTGTTTTATGTGAGGCGTAGTTATTGTTTTTGTGTACTGGGTTTTATGTGCCAAATTTGCTGCATATTTGGCCTTTTGAGATACTTATCTTGGAGTCAAGGTGGTCAAAATTTTGGTTTATGAGGAACGCAATGTTCAACAATTAGTTCCTTCAGCTTCTTGTCCCAATAGACTGTAATCCTTGTAAGTTGCTAATATTGGCCAAATTTGTAATCGAAAATGGTATGCACTATCATATGAAAAAATATGTTATTTTCCTATCCTCACTCTAAAAAAGAATAAAGAAAAAGACAGAGATATTCTCCATTTCTCCTCTTCCGCTTCCCTCAAACATATCCCCATTACAGAAGACCCCCACAATGCCACCACCCTCTACTATGATTTAGCAACACCCTTAGTCACAACAAGTTCGCTCTTTGCATTTGCACTTCTTTTCTCTAGACTCTGGTTGCAGTCCTGTCCTGTAAAATATAAGTACAAATGCTTACAGATACTCCTTTCTTATTTGTCTTGCTCTTGACTCTCTTGCGATTATAAGTGTTTTATCGATAGGAAAAAAAATCCTCGAGCCAAGTTTTAGAGCAACATGAAGTGTTTTACCTTGAACCATTTCACCAGCTTCTGTACTTACAGGGATTCTTTAAGAATTTATCTATAGCAAATAATAGGTACGGGGGTGGGAGGTCTTTCGCCCTGCTTAAAATTGATAATGTTGCAATACTAACCAAGTAATTGAATTGCTGCTGTCTTGATGTGCTCCTTCTTCTTATGTAAACTATGTGTGTACCGTTTTGTGCGAGGAGGTCTAAAGTGGTAGTAACTTTTGGGGTTTCATTTTCTTATTCTTTAGCTTTTTTACACATTTATCATTTAGTGTTGTGTGATTAGTGGCATGTCTATTTTTAGATATAAAGCGCCCAAACATGGCTTTTTTTTCTGTCCGATTTTTTTGTTTGTATTATGTTCATTTTATGAATTTCATTCCCATGAGTTTAATTGGCTTTTGATTTAGTTTCATAAACTGTCTCTAGAACAAATCATGTACGAGTAAGACTCTTTTTAGAGTGATAAGATGTTTGCTTTACGATGTGCTTGAAGTGGCTTGACAAGGGGCTAGGGGACAGGACAGGTGTCGCAATAAGGTGGTATGGACGTAGAGTTGTTGGATCAGAGTTCTGATAATTGGGAGTAGTCAGTGCAGTGGCGGAGCCAGGATTTTTATTAAGAGGGGTCAAAATATAAAGAAGTAAGCCCACGAAGAAGCCAAGAAGTGTCAATATATAGTATATATACATAAATTCTTTTTTTTATCTAGCTAAACAGTGTAATTTTCTGACGAAGGCGTGTCGGTTGACACCCCTTGAATACATGTGGCTCCGCCACTAAGTCAGTGACTAGGGAACTGTTGTGGGTTTGGTTGTTGATTCTTTTTTCCCTTATGGAAAACAACTATATGTGCCGCTTTTGGTTGGTTCAGGGATCAAAATATACTTCTTCAAATAGTTTGAGGACCTTCAGTGTCATTTGCCTCAAATCATTACCATGTCTCGCGTCCAGCAAACAAGTCAACCATCTTACATGGCTTATGCTTAACATCTGTTGTAGGAATAAGTAACTGATGGTGAAACGTTAAGTGAACATGTTTAATTTGGTTTGACTTGAAAGAGATGTGGATGTTAACCATCTCGTTTCTCCACTTCTTTTTGCTACTTGTGTGTGGGATTTCTTCCCACATACCGGAGTGAGACATGATGATAGAAAAAGCCTGTAGCTTGTGCTGTTACCGTATGATGGACAATTAAAGAAGAGGTTGTATTTGTGAAACCATTTAGTCGTCGCAAGTGAAACTACTAATCTGTAGAGGGATAGGTCATGGCACCTTCGAACACAACTCTTACATAATAAAGAATGGTCTGCATTGGGACAGCCTCGTTTGAAGTGCCACTATATCCTGTGTTCCTTGCTTTAACTGACAGAAGAAAATAGTGCAGTTACATCGCAATGGCTTTTTGATTTAATGGATTAGGTGAGAAATACTGAGAAGTCTCGAAAAAGGTAACATTTGCTGAGATCAAGCACCTATTTGTCGAGGGATCAAAGCATTTATAAACCTTTTTTGTAGACTAGAATACCTAAAAAGACACATTTGATAGCCTTTGGCTGAAGTTTGTCTTTTCTAGGGGTAAGATCATGAGCAAAAGAGGTACAACCAAACACACGTGGAGGAAGTGGGAACAGAGTCTGGTCCGGATAAAAGACCGAGAATGGACTCTTGTTCTACAAAACAGAAGAAGGCATACGATTGATTAAATAACAAGCAGTACTAATGGGATCACCCCAAACACGGAAAAGCTACATAGTTGTGAATGAGTATGTCCAAGCCATTTTGATGAGATGTTTGTTCTTCCGTTTAACAATTCCATTTTGTTGTGGATTATGCGCACAAGAAAACAAGTGTAATAAACCTTGTGATGACATAAAGGAAGAAAGAGAAGACGAGAAATATTCTTGGGCATTATCACTGATTAATTTCTTTATGATAACACCAAATTGATTGTTAATTTCAGTACAAAAATTCTAAAAAGTAGAGAACAATTTAGACCTATTTTTTATTAAAAATAACCAGTGCAGCGAGAATAGTCAATCAATAAATGTAATAACATTATGTAAGCCTAGTGAAGTATTGACACGACTTGGACCCTATATGTTCGAGTGAACAACTTCAAACCTAGAGAAAGCCCTATTATTGGCATGTTTTGAGAAAGAAGCACGAGTGTGTTTTCTAAGTTGACACGACTCACATTCTAACAAAGATAAACTAGATAGAATCGGAGTACTAGATAAGGCAGGACATACAAGAGATGTTTGTTGGTCTCTTTATGGTAGGCCTCTACGTAATAATGATCGTCCTTGACATTCAATAAATGTGGCTCACGTTAGGGGGCGTTTTGAGACATAATATTATAAATTAATTAAAAGTATGCTATCTCTAACAACTTAAGCTTTTAGAGAGAGAGAGCATGTTTTTAATTAATTATATTATGTCTCAACATAATCTGTAAGTGGCTTTAAAATATAAGCAGTTGTTTCTTCCGATTCTACTATACCACTACATGATCATAAAGATAGCCTGATTTCGGGCAAGTGTACCCCTGATTTTGGACTAGTGATTGTGCCACATATTTCCAATTTCTTGATTCTATTTGGTAGCAGAGTATTTGATGCATTTGTTTGTTAAATGTGGTAGTTTTACATGTCAAGGAAATGATAACCCGTTCTTCTAGTTTTATCTCATTAGTCATCATTGCTTTCAATTTTTTCTCTCTTTTTACTGGAGTGGAGCGGGGTATGATGAAAAAGTAATCTTTCTTGCAGATGGTTATCTGGTTTATTATACCAGCGACAAGAAGCCAGCATGCTAATCATAACAATAATGCCCTAGCGCTGATTGTCCTACTTCAGTATGTTCCCAGATTGTATCTTATATTCCCATTAAGTTCACAGATTATCAAAGCAACTGGAGTTGTCACAAAAACTGCTTGGGCAGGGGCTGCATATAATCTACTTCTCTACATGTTGGCCAGTCATGTATGTAGCTCCAACAACCTTATTTTCAAAGTTGATGCTTTAAAAGTCTGGTTAATGTGGTATTAACCTGAGGGCCTCACAAAATATTGGTTTAAAACCATTGCTGTTATGCAAGGGTTTTTCTTTTTTGTTTTTTCTTTTCTTTATGTATTCTTTTCTTGGGAGTTTGATGTAACAGCAGTCTATTTGTTTTTCTTTAGGTTATAGGGGCAGCATGGTATTTGCTTTCAGTTGATCGATATACTTCATGTTGGAAATCAATATGCCGAAATGAAAACAGCTCTACGCAGTGTGTGCTTCGCTACTTGGATTGTGATACTTTTGACCAAAATACTCGTAAGAGTTGGGCAAATATCACCAAGGTTTTTGAAAGTTGTGATCCTGATGGGGATAGTACTTTCAAATACGGAATATTTGAAAGCGCAGTTAAAAAGGATGTTGTCTCCTCAAGGTTTATGGCAAAGTACTTCTATTGCTTGTGGTGGGGCTTACAACAACTGAGGTAATTTTCCTATGTGGTTGGACAAAATAATGATGTCTTTTGCATTTATAATGTTCTTATCTAGTGTTTTTGGCTGTAATTTATAGAAATGGTATCCCAGTTAGACATTTCCAAATTCGAAAGCACATGGTTCTTATCTAGTGTTTTGGTATTTAAAAAGAGAAAAGATAGAAGCAAGCAAACCAGTAGCATATCAGATATTACCTCAGTTCTAATTTGCTTGACCATTTATCTGTTTAGTCTATCCAGTTTATGAGACCTATTTTATAAGATGGATAACTATGTTATCTCTAACAGTCCAAAAATTCCATAAAATGATTCTATTTCGATTGTTTTGACCTTGAGTCTGTACTTCTTCAACAACTAATACTTGTTTAATCACTTTGAGCTTGTTTGACAATCTGCCCCACGTACCATCTTTCAGCCTGATTAAACACATCTAACTAACTCCAACAAAATACTGTTCAAAATTGTTGATTTTTGCAATAGTCAGTGGGGTTATCCAAGTTATGAAATCAGAGCCTCTTGTTTTAGCCTTGTCGATGGTGGATCAGAGTTCAACCGAGTTTAGGCAACCCGGTTAGGCGGGGCAAACCTCAGTGCTGAGTCTAGGAGAATCCCATGCGGTGGGGCAAACCTCAGCGAGGACGCTGAGTCCATAAGAGGGAGTGTATGTAACACCCCAAACTTTAGACAGAGTCTCACATCGACAAAACATAAAAGGGATGCTGGTTATATAAGTTAACAAGCCTTAGATCCTAGTGACACGTTTAAAGCGGTGCGGGCCTATGCCCAAAGCGGACAATATCACTAGCGGGCTGGGCTGTTACAGAAACTCGTTATGTGTGTGGTTTTGTGCTGCTTTTTCTTGAAAATACTTAGATGGAGTCATTGAAAAAGGTTCTTAAGGATGAAATTACATTGAGAGAGTAAATGTGCTAGTTGCACTTCTAATCCAACCTTTAACGAGCCATTTGAAGGAAGTTCTAAACTTGAAATCTTTCGTCTTCTTGTGTTACAGTTCTTACGGGCAGAATTTGTCAACGAGTACATTTATTGGGGAGACATCCTTTGCTATACTTATTGCAATTTTGGGTCTGGTTTTGTTCGCACACCTTATTGGGAATATGCAGGTAAATCAAAGGCTCTGCTGCTTTTCATTCTCCCTCCATACGAGCTTGTTTTGGTAGACCTTGTAACTTTCTCTCGACTGTTAGACAATTATAATTACTGTTCTTGATTTAATATTTGCAAGATTCTGCTTGATTGGTGAATTTTCTGCATGCTATTCCTCTTTGTACATTTATATGCAAGTAGAAAATGTAGAGAACTTCTAGAGTTAGAGAAACATTCATACCGGCTTATGACATAGACGGAGAGGGTTCATAAGCGGACCTCAACTTGCTTGGAATGAACACAGTTGTTGTTTTCTTCTTAATAGTGTAGTAGATTCCTCAAAACATCTTCTACTTCTTATGTCCCAAATGGTAAACCTTGGGCTATCCTTCAGTTGTACTACACAATGTTGTCAAAGGCGCGCTTAAAGCGCGCAGGGCAAAATATGTTGAGCGCTTCGCCTCGCTTATCGGGCGCTTCAATGTCGTCATCATGGCTCGAAGGCATACCGTTCTTTGCAAATGAGCGTAATCCTGAAGAGGCGACACTAAACAATTGGTATTTCACTTTATTGTAAATGTTTTCAATTTCTTTGTCCATATATTTATTATTCATGGTTATAATTATTAGTCTTGAACTACACATATACATTTGTATTTTTTTCTCCAATTGCGCCTTTCTTCACTAAAGCCCACGCTTTATTTGCGCTTTGCGCTTAAAGCCTTAATAGACCTTAGAGCTTTTTTGCGCTTTTCGCCTTTGATAACACTGCTACATAGGCTATATAAATATGTTCTCTCACGCGGGGGACCTTAATGTTGTGGGAGGTAAAAATACCAAAAATTGAGCAGAAGATTTCAACAAATAGCATGTGTTAAATCCTTTTTCTGGCATTGTTCTTATGCTGGTTGCTCAACCCAGCTTAATTATAAACATTCTTTTTGAATTTGGCTATATTTTTAGAGAAGGGGGCAAAAAGACCTCTTGAGTCTTGAACAAAGGATCAGAGACTTTGGCTATGTCAAAGATAATTAGGTGAATTGGGGCCTGATTGTAATTTCTAAAATGTTGCGGGAACATATTAAAATCTGAAAATCTCCCACTTTTATAATTTCAAATTTAATTTGTTGGTTCCTTCTCCTCTTTCTTTCTTCATCTTCTTCCTTCTTCTCCTCCTTCTTCTTCCTTCTCTTTTCCTTCTCTCCCTCTTCCTCTTCTTCTTCCTTATCGTCTTTGCAATTTTTTTGTTCTTCTTTTTGGGTTTGTTGTGACGATTTCTGGAGATAAATTTGCGAATATAGATTTTTGAATCCATGGATGAAATTCTAAAGTCCATAAAAAACAACCGAGAATTGTTTAAACAACGTCACGTTGTTTATTTCAAATAGCCCAAGAGTTGTTTTAACAAGGTTGTATAGTTCAAACAACCAGGAAATGTTTAGGCATCCTCAAGTTGTTTAGTTAAAATAATCAAGAAATGTTTAAACATCCGTTAGTTGTTTGGAGGTGGTGGAAGGGGGAAGCGGGAGCGGAGGGTTTGTGAAAATAAAATAAACTTTGGGGCTTTTTCATTAACACTAATAAAAACGAGTACCTCCTACCTATTTCATAAGATTTGAGTCTTTGAAACTTAAATAAAAGACTAAAAGGTCTCTTATAAATTTTCCCCTATGTTATTAATATGCATACTTTTCATTGATTTACTTGTAGAAATGAATAAGAAGCTTAGACAAGCATTTGAATCACCGCAGATTTAGATTTTTGATCTACATACCTCTCCAAAAGCAATGTTAGATACTTTTTATGGTTAAACCTGATTAACAGAGAACTCAATTAATGTTATTTTACTCCCAAAGTTTTCTAAAATATAATTGAGGTTTCATCCCTTAGTTTCCCTTTAGCCTTTGAATGTTGTTGGTATAGAGGTTCCAAAATAAATTGTTTGACGTGGTAGATTCCACAACCGATCTATTTGGACATCAATCGGGTTGAGGCTGGAGTCGTGGTCCCTGGAAAAGTTAATATGCTACTATTCAAACCTTATGATTTGCAAGAACGCATATCTTTGACATGCTTGAATTGAGTATGAGTTGAAAATGGGCATGTATTCACCTCGTAACCTGAAAGTATGTGCCATTGAGCGGAAAACTTCCTTTCATAGCCGACCGACATGGTATATGTTAGACAAGAATAGCGGTGAATGACGAAAATTATCATCACTTTCCTATAATAAGAATTCTAACAGTTTGTGGGCCTTTTCTTACCAGAAGTGTCCCTCTCACTGTTTGAGAACTTGCGTCATGTATGCTGTTGTATGTGAAACATGTTTCATCATCTTATGGTCTGCCAGTTTCTTGGGAGTTGCATTGTCTTCCTGGTGGCTTACTAGAATCAACTTTCCTGGTGGCTTACTAGAATCAACTGTTTCACGTGATATGAATTTGGTACATGAGGGGGAATTAACTTAATTAACCTATTATCTTTTTCTCAGGCTTCCAAAATTAACTTAATTTTCCCTCGTGTACCTAATCAATATCACGTGAAACAACAAACTCTATTTAGCCTTCGGGAAGACTGTGCAACTCCTAAGAAACTGGTAATTATGTGATGTTGAAACATGTTTCACATGCAACAACATATGTAAAGCACGTTCTCAAACAGTGAGAGACAATTCTGATAAGAAAAAGCTCAGAAATTATTAGAATGCTTGTTAAAGGAAAGTGATGATAATTTTAGTCATCCACTAATTTTCATGTCTAACAAATACCATGTCGGACGGTTATGAGAAGAAGTTTTCCGCTCAGTGGTACATACTTTTATGTTAATGAGGTGAATACAATCTATTTTCAGCTCATCTTCAATCCAAGCATATCAAATATAAGCATTTTTGCAAATAATAAGGTTTTAATAGTAGCATATTTGCTTTTCTCAGGTTTGCTGACCATAACTCCAGCCTCAACCTAATTGATGTCTCAGGAATTTGGCTATGAAATCTGCTAAGTCAGACAGTTTACTTTGGAACCTCTTTATTAACAATTATTTAAAGATAAAAGCGCATCTAAAGGATAAAATCTCAATTATTTGTAAAATGTTTTGAGAGTAAAATAACACTAAATGAGTTCTTTGTTTGTCAAGCTAACCACAAAAACTATCAAACGTTGCTTTTTTTGGGTATGTAGATAAGAAACCTAAGTCCACAGTGGTTTAAATGCTTCTCTTAGCTTCTTATCTATTTCAACCAAGTAAATCAATTAAAAATGTGCATGATAATAACATAGATCCCGTTTGGACTAGCTGAATAAAAGCAGCTTTTAAGTACCAAGTGCTTAAAAGCACTTGTTTTAAGTGCTAGAGCTGGTTCTATAGATAAACAGTTACGTGTTTCGATAGAAGTACTGTAACTTAAACTATGCAATGATGTATTTGGTAAGAAAGTGCTATAAGCACATTTTTTTTGTTAAAATTACTGATATGTCCTTAAAGTTGTTGTTTGTGAAGATTCTTTTCCAAAAAAAATTATTTGTGTTTAGGTATTGGTTTTTGAAATTACTATATTTAGTGCCATATATTAGTTTTCTTTACTGGCAAACAAGTATAGCGTTGTTTGTTAACAAAATCTAAAAATTGAAACAGAAAAGATTTTCAAGAAAAAAAAAAATTATTTGTAAATACTTACTAACCGAAGGACTAAAATGTTAACAAAAAAGTACTAAAATCTGTACAAAGCAATTACTATATTTAAGAATCTGAATAACTCATATAAATAAGATATTCATTTATTTGCCATTAGGGGCAGTATCTTAGTTACCACCTTGAAAAATCAACAAAAGCCAAAAAATGAAAGATAAAAGAAAAAGGGAAAGTGGAAAATGGTTGACAAAAAATAAGAATTCGTAAAAGATAGCAGATAGAAAACATTGAGATATGCCATGGAGATGGCGCAATTGCAGCAATGGAAGGCAAAGATGGAAAACCAGTGGAGGGAAGGAGTAGGGGATAAAACGAGTACAGCTAGGCTTTTACTTATGATGGGTTTTTTGGGTATTATAGAAAAGTATAGAGGATAACATAGTAAAATATTTGGTCAAAGTGTAACTGCTTTTAAGCTAAAAAAACAAAAAGTTGGGCTTGCCTAGCTTCTTGGTTTTTGCTTATTTTGGCTTCAAAGCACTTGGCTTTTAAGCTGTTTTGATACTTGTCAAACACCTAAACAAAGCCAGAAAGTGATTTTAAGCTGGTTTGACCAGCTTTTAAGCGTATCCAAAGACCCTTGTAGTCAAATTCAAAAGATGGTTTAAAATAAAGCTGGTGTAAGCACCCACCATAAGAACAAAGCTTGAAACTAAGGAAAAAAGATTTAAACACATTCCTATCTTCTTCTCAATTTATGGTATTTTTACCTCCCACAACATTAAGGTCCGCTGCGTAGGAGAACATGTTTATACAGCCTATGTAGTAACAATTGAAGAACAATCCAAGGTTTACCGTTTGAGACAAAAAGAAGTAGAAGATGTTTTGAGTACTCTGCTAACACTATTTAGAAGATAAAATTCTCTTTGCATGCATAATGTTCCCGTGAATGCCAATTGGATGCCTCAGTTTTTAAGTGTATGTTAACAATATCAAAGTTTACATAATAATAGTTGGTAGAGTATCAAACTCCCAGTTCCCGCAACTAATTTACATGATCAGCATGAGATAGTGTGGTCATATCCCACGTCGATCTTCAGCTGCATTGCATCAGTGGTTAGGCGTGAAACCATGATGAGTGAAGATGTTAAAAAGAGACGAGGTAGACCTAATATTATATGGAAGAAAGTCGTTTCGAAAGACCTATAATTTTTTGGAATCGATGTAGGCATAGTGAAAGAGACACATCTATATAGGCAATACCAATTAATTGGGATATATTTTAGCCTTGTTGTAAATTTACTTTAGGTGCTATGATTTCTATGAGTTCTTTTAGCCTTGTCTGACATTTTTATGCCAATGAAAAGAACTAATACTTTTTTTTAAAATTTTTGTATAATGTTGGCCTGAGATGTATTTAAATGTAGAAACATGGTCACCGAGGATTCATATAGCCGACACTCTTGTTTGGGACTGAGATGTAGTTTGTTTATAGCATCATCATGAATAAAATCAATAGTATCTAGTCATATGATGACACAGGGTTTAGACAGTTTTACAATGTATCATTAGCGGGAAAGGAGACTTTTAAGATTTTGCTTTGAGGTATTGATTCTCTTGGGACACTTCCTGTCATTTCAAAAGCTTCTCAAACTCATTACTGAGGTGGTTTCATTACATCCCTGTTTAATTTGGTGCCTGAAGATAAACTGGAAATATATGACTTTCTATAACTTGTCAATAATGGGATGGAGTGTGGACTGACAATATTTAGAAGCTGTAACCATTTAGGGACTCTGTAACATCCCTGAGGCATGAGCTGTATTGGATACCTTCACATTAACCGTTTACCTAAAAACTTCTTTCCTTTTCAAGAATGATCGTTTCTGCTAACTTCAGTTATAAGGTGGTGGATAGAGGAGCCAGGCTCAAGTCTCACAAGTTTGGTTGGCCTTGTTTGATCAAAAGAAATGACGTTAATCTTGAATTCACTTTTATAAGACAATATCATTGGCGCTATTGGTTATGATACTTAGAAGAAAATTTCCAAGAAGTGATCTTCTTGCTTCCTGGTTTGCTTAAAGGAGTCCCTCCCTGTTCTTGGGAGACACCAGTTATTTGATAGGAAAAACTTACTTCTTTACCATATCCTTAAAATATCAAACGAATAATATAAAGACAATAAAAAATGAATATCAAATGAATAATATTAACCATTTTTCTTTATTTATAACATTAGTTGTTAGCAGTCTTACTTGCACATCCTTTTATAGAAGTTTTATACATGACAATAGTTAACTAACTTATAGTTCGTTCTCTTGCCATTGCTCCTTTTACATCGAGTTCTTGTCTTCCTTGTTTTCTATTTCTTTTTTTTTNTATGTGATTAATAATGTTGAACTCTAATTGGGTGTGAACTGGACAAGACCCGTCTTCTCTGGGTAGGTAACGGCTCACGGCCCCCTGAATTCCATTTATACAATATCCATGGGATCCCGACTTTGTTTTCCTTGAGGGAGGTCCGATGTGATGCAAGTTGTACATAACCTTACGACTTTGTAATCAACTTCTCATATCTGAAAAAAGGGGCAACCCGGTGCACAAAACATCACACGTTAACTCAGGGTCGTGGAAGGGTCGCAACCCAAGGGGGTGTGATGGCTGATTCCACGGCTTGAACCCATGACCTATAGCATGACCTATAGCCTATAGGTCACACGGAGACAACTTTACCATTCTCATATCATTCTATTTGGGTATAACCCTTCATTTTTTCTTGCATGTAGACATACCTGCAGTCTTTGACGGTGAGGCTCGAGGAATGGAGACTCAAGAGAAGAGATACTGAAGAGTGGATGGAGCATCGTCAACTTCCAGAAGATTTGAGAAAGCGGGTTAGGCGTTTTGATCAATATAAATGGGTTGCTACTAGAGGAGTAGATGAAGAGACAATTTTGCATGGTCTGCCTACTGATCTTCGTCGTGACATCCAACGTCATCTTTGCCTGGACCTTGTCCGACGGGTATGATTTTCCTCCATCGGAACTGATTCTTTTCCAAGTATTCATATATTTATCAAAAAAACACGTGCCCAAATGGTGGCTTCTAAAAAGATAGACACTTGTATTGTTGGTTTATTTTCAACTTCTTGGGTCTGTTCTCAAAATGTATCTTTATTAATTACACCATCCTTTTTGGCCCTGGTTTCTTGCATTAACGGGCCTACCGCTTTCATATGAACACATTTTTATGTCCTCACTTTTCAATCAGTGCAGGACAGATGTGTGTTGATTCAGTTGCAATTATATAAGCATTTGTTGTAGAGGCATTTGCTTGTTAAGCTCATTTCACTTATTTTATTATAACTGTTTAGGTTCCATTTTTCTCCCAAATGGATGATCAATTACTTGATGCAATATGCGAACGTCTAATCTCGTCCTTAAGCACCGAAGGCACCTATATCGTCCGTGAAGGAGATCCAGTTACAGAGATGTTATTTATCATCAGAGGTAGGCTCGAGAGTTCTACTACAAATGGTGGTAGGACTGGTTTCTTCAATTTCATCACATTGAGGCCTGGAGATTTTTGCGGAGAGGAGCTACTCGCTTGGGCTTTGCTTCCAAAATCAACTGTGAACTTGCCTTCTTCAACCAGAACAGTCAGGGCACTTGTTGAGGTGGAAGCATTCGCGTTGAGAGCCGAGGATCTCAAGTTTGTCGCTAACCAGTTTAGACGTCTTCATAGCAAGAAGCTCCAGCATACATTCCGGTTCTACTCTCACCATTGGCGTACATGGGCAGCATGTTTCATACAGGCTGCATGGAGGCGACACAAGCGGAGGACAATGGCGAAAGATCTTGCAGCACTTGAGTCATTTGCTCTGGATGAGAGAACGGTCGATGAGACAGAACAAAGTGAGGAGCAAGATCAAGGTAACGCTAGCTCAAATCCATCCCCGAGAATATCCCACCTTGGAGTCACAATATTGGCTTCGAGATTTGCTGCAAACACAAGAAGAGGAGCTCAAAAGCTTAAAGATGTACGTTTGCCTAAGTTACAAAAACCTGAAGAGCCTGATTTTTCAGCTGAGCCTGATGACTAGTAACTTGCATCAGGTAGATATATCCTACAGCTAATAGTTTTCATTCAGATATCGATAAGATGACCAATTCTAAAAATGAAGTTTTCTGTAAAACGTTCTTGCACTCGGATCATCGTTGTAAATGTGGAAAAACGTGTTTCTAGACGATAGAGAGTGCTGTAACCTGAGAAGTTTTGGCAAGGGAATGCGGGACCGGTTTTTTTCCTTTTTGGTTAATGTAATTGTATTTAATAGTAGTAGGTTTTTCAGTAGCAGGATGCTCTTCTGTACTATATAAACTAAATAACTTCTTGAGTTATCTGTAAAAGCTCTCTTTTAAGAGTTGCTAGTTCCATACTACCAGTAAATAAGCATTTTATTCAAATTTTACTGTGCTTACAATTACAGAGCTTAGCTTGTCTTCTTTTTTTCCCCCTTCCTGCAAGTCTCAGGCTACTACATGTTTGTTATGCTTAAAAAATACATGCTAGTTATGTTGGGGTTATAACTACTGCTTATGCTTGAAATATCTAAACACCTGAAATCCACTAAATAGATGTTGCCCCTTAAATAGTGTGAAAGGATGGTAGGTAGAACTATGGGACTCTATATCTTCTCGGGTAGATGATCGATAACTAGAGGAGTGAAAGAAAGCCTAGAACAAGAGGACGTAGGCTGCTAACACTAAAAGATTTGCTATCACATACTTTCAAAGACAATGCCTAGATCGTTACGCCTTTCGTGAGGGTGCCTAGATCGTTACGCCTTTCGTGAGGGTCGGAACTTACATGACTAGAAATTTCGCTACCTTAGGACTATCATAATTACGGTCGCTGTTCAGTGGGGGCTTCGGTCGTCCGCGCCCCTGTTGCCAATTTCCTTGACCTTCCGGCACTGGGCAGGCGTCAACCCCCATACATGGTCTTACAACTTTGCGGAGACCTGTGTTTTTGGTAAACAATTGCCCATGTTTGTTATGAAGTGAATAATAATACGTGGAATGTTATGCAAGGATTACCTACCATATTGCTAATACATATAATCATATTTCAGATTTCATTCCGTATAAAATAATACCTTAAACTTCTGCATAACTTAATATGGATATTATTTAATACTGTAAACTAAATGTTGCATTAGCTATGCGAGGATTATTTTTTTCTTATATGACCAACCAAATAATGCATTAGCTATGTACGAAATGTTTTTTCCTAATCCTTCAACCAAACGATCCACTATTATCAGCCTTTAATTAATCCAAGCCAAATAGGCCTTGAAAATCAAGTTTCTTTTTGTTTCAGACCAGGAATGGCAGTTTTGAAAGAAAGATTCTGTCCTTACTTGAGTTGTCTTGGATCTATTTTTGCAGTTGCATTTGTCAAAATCTACCCTTAAGAAGTTAATTAAAGACAAGTTCTCTCTTCTTTTGCTAATGATAATGGCAGTGGAAAACAAAACTAGAAAGCACCTTCATGAGATAGTTGATTATGATTTCTAGCGTCAAATAAAAGGGCAACCCGAGATACTAAACTCCCATTATGTGCTGGATCCGGGTAAGGACCGGACCATATTGGTCTGATCTACGCAATCTTACCTTGAATTTCTACAAGAGGATGTTTTCGTTGCAAACTTTACCGCTCCGTCTATTTCGTGTTTTGTCCTATGACATGTCTCATCACATCATATCCCTTCACGATCAATTTGCTTTCCTCTCAAGTCAACCTACGCAACGCGAATTTGAATTAAGTGGACCAATGAATTTCAAATACCGAAAGCATAAAGAAAAAAAAAAAAATGTTCTCGTGCAAGACAAGACACGGGGTGAATACTTGGTGAAGGGCGTGAATCACAATTCCTTTACTATCTCTTTGCACTCCTCATCTCAGATGCATAAGCTACTACTTATTTTCTTGAAAGGTTTAGAGAAAAAATGTGCACCTGAATTTAACAAGTCATTTATCAGTTGTTACATAGTCCAATATAAACTCTTGAGAGACTAAAGGTTTCACAATTTCCCTCACTTTATTTTTCAGAAATATGATGAGATCCGATGTACAATCCAGGTAACTACAAATAAAAGAGAAACTTGGTGAAAGAATCAAAGCTGAGCTTTCAAGTGATATAGTTCAATAATTTGAAAAGGGAAATTAAAAGAAAGGACAACCCGATGCACTAAGCTCCCGCTATACGCGAGGTCCGGGAATGACCGGACGACAAGGGTCTATTGTACGCAGCCTTACCCTGTATTTCTGCAAAAGGTTGTTTCCACGGCTTGAACCCGTCACTTCCCGATCACATGGAAGCAACTTTACCAGCTACGCCAACGTTCCCCTTCAGAAATGCAGGGTAGAGACTAAATACAAAAAATAAAACACAAAAAAGATGGCAGTTTTGTGTCTGCATTTTACAGATCTAAGAAACATGTACATCTAAGTTGTTAATACAGAGACTACTAGAATACATTGATTAAGACAAGTAGGGGGCAGGGGAATCAAAAGTAGAGGCTCTCGCGTCCAGATCAAACTCAATGAACTAGTTTGTATTCCGGCTTTTATGTTTTCTTTATGTATTACAGGCTCATTTCTCCAGCTTTAACCAGATGTCTCGACTCAATATTTATTATCAATGTCGTAAAACTCTATGTTCTTGTACTTTTGGGATATAATCTCCGCTTGCACTTTCCTTGCAGTGTCTGTAGCACAACCCACGAGAATAAGCACTGACGTCCCTGCAAAGCCCCGGAAAGCAGTGAGGTGTGTTGCCTGTTCAATTACAGCAGGGCCAGCAGCAAGAACTGCCAAGAATGCAGAACCAAGAACTGATATCCGGCTGAGTACCTGTAATCCCCCGTTTTAAGGCATAATGAAATGACGAAGTACTTTGATCTTTAAATCATAGTTAAACTATTTGATAAGATTACCATGTGACGGACGGTGTTCATGTACTATTACATATGCAATACATCAGTTACTTACCTATTCTAGAGTATCAAGTATACACTAAGAGAGACTATCTTTTACAAGAAAAGAAATGGGAAAAGTAAGAAAACCCCCGTAAATCCAAATCATATAGAAGGTTGGCTACTTTTAACAATATAGGGAAATATATATGAATCTCAGACAAAGCATTTGAGCTTTATCCAGTCTGAAAGTTAACTTGGATTTGTGTTACAGACACTTATATTGTCGGCATATATATGAATGAATATACACAAGTTTTTAATGGGCTAATTTGAACTGTGCCTAAAATGAGAAGCCAATGAATATTAGCCCTGCCTGCCCACCCAAATCTGTGTGGGTTGGCGGACTATATTTTCTTGAACTACCTAATTGTGACTTATAGTACTTTCATTTTTAGAAATTTGAAGAATCTATGTCCAAATTCAAGTGTTTTGACCATCGCGTCTATTCACATGAAATGGGACAGAGGGAGCACATCTTATATATAAAGATCTAAATAAATCAACAGTTTTCTGTTATCTCCAACCACACGCTGAACATGACTACTGTCTTATAAGAAAGAGTGCACGTCCTGCTAGATTAGAGAATCAAGAGACGCAATGAGTAGAAAGAAAAAAAGGCCATCACGGAAACCAAAGAAGGCAATAATACCGTCTTGATGAATGCTGCTGTGCTTTTACCCGGTCGAACAAGTGGGATTGAGGCACCTTGTCGCTTCAATTGTTCGCTGACATCATCAGGGTCCAATTGCAGGAATGTATAATAGTAATTGAAGAAGGCAATCAACAAAACATTTGCCGGGAGATAGTAAGAACCTACAAAGGAACATCTGTTTGGTCAAAGCCCTCAAAATATTATAAAGCGAAAATAAGTCCACACATGCATGAACAGAAAGAAATGCACTGTCAATAATGAACTATTTCTCCACTTGTTTTGCTTATCTCCTTTTCGTTGAAAATACAAATACCATTTTATCTTTAACCTTTTCTTTCCGAAATTATGGTCATCGATAATCTCTTCAGAGAGAAGAGTTAGGAAAAGACCCTACGTAAAAATCAATATTCCTCTGTAGTCGAGTACCACCTATTCCACCTTAGAAAAGTCATTTTTCAGATTCTGTCTCTAGTTGCTCTATCTTCTACGTAGTACCACTAACTCAAAAGTATTGCACAACAGGTTTTACAAGACTACACCTCTTCGTTTAAGGATAGTCGTCAATTTGTTTCAAAACTTTAGTACATCAGGACAGGGAGTGTATATGCACTACAAGTTCAAAGGTAGTCGAGTTTAAGGCACAAGCTTTATTCAGTGGAAAGTGCATGTGAAGTGAGGAAACTGCACTATCTTTTACTTACCTCCAGGGTTTAAACCTGCTGCAGCATTCCTCAGGAAACCTACACCAGTGAAACGTGCCAGGGTGCCAGGAAGGGCTAGTGATGATGTAGAGAAAATAATCGGCATTACTCCTGTACTGTTCACCTGACCATTGTAACTATAGTCATAAGTTGTATCTAAGAAGGATCATAATTTACTAACTGTACAAAGAACTTCACTGCATGCTTCCATCAAAATATAAGGATTAACGTGAAACAATGGCTCCCCTTGTCCCTTAGCCGATGTGGGAGACTCAACACCCCTTCACACACCCAAGTCTGCCAATTGGAGCATGAACAATATAATACGGGGGCCCAACATCGATGAAACAAAGGACTGGGATGGGTCTGGCTCTGATACCATATTGAATTGTGTGACCATATCATCTAAAAGCTTAAGCTGTTAGAGAGAGTCCCCTCAACACTACTTATCGCATGTCTAACCACTAATGAAACAGCAGGAAATTTTAAACAAGTAGCTAAGTGACTTCCTCCATAAGGAAACAGATTTCAACCCTCATTCTTCTCATCCAAAGAAGAGCTGATGCCCCACTCTTCTTAAGGAGTACAAGCCTTCAAAACTAACTAAACGAAACAAGAGAAGAAAAGAATACTAACTTTAAACGGTAAGTATGCAGATTTTTGAAGTCCTCCACCTGTTCTGCCAGAATATCTTGATGCATAATTTAGCGGAATTTTCCTCTCTGCTTCCTGAAAATCTTGGCTGAGAGCACTGTTAACAATTTCCCTCAAAGGCATGACAAGAAGTTAAATGTTACGTAACCTAGAAATAAGAACATACCTGTACATATACAATGCTAAGGACTAGGAGGAAGAACGAGACTAGGATGCCGACAAGCCCAACATAGTTACCATCTTGATATGCTTGTGCGACTGTCCTACCAAAGGATGCTGGCAAGTAGGAGATGATATTTGTAAAGATCAAAAGGGATGTACCATTTCCAAGTTTTAAATCAGTGATTCGCTCCCCAATATACGTCGTAAGTACAGAGCCGAGGGTCAAGAGAACAATAGAAGAAATTGCCCACTGGGTACTGAAGTCATTGACATAAGGTCGAAGGAATAATACTTGGCCAATTGCCTGCCGCAGAAATTAAAGATAAGTGTAATTTGCCAATCGACTCTGTATTTATGCATGAAATGCAATTCTTCAACCACAATGTACAAGTGAGAATCAAATTCAAACAAACTACTACTACTCAATTGTACAGGAAATATCTCATATAGAGAATGCTTCTTCATTCAAGTAATACTCCTACGTTTCATCTAATGTGCCGGTGTTTGACTGGGCACATAATTTAAGAAAGAAAGTATGACTTTTACAGCTTGTGGTCTTAAACATGCCATGACATTTCATTGGCTATAAAAGATTGTCATTAAGGGTAAAATGAAAATTTTAAGTTAATTTCTTTTCAAATATAGATAAGTATCATTCTTTTTGTAACAGGCTAAAAAGGAAAGAGTGTCACATAAAATGAAACATGGAAAGCCGAGGCGAATCCATGATTTAAGCTCTATGGGTTCATATCTACTATTTGTTGCAATTTTAGAGAATTTTTAGACATAAATTTATGCTTCACGTCGAAAGTACTGGGTTCAGACGAACCCGGTATCGATGTGTTGCATCCGACACTAAGGGAGAATATCAGTTTTTCTAGGAAAAACAATATTACCTGTACTACAGCAAATCCAACAGAAGCATAGCGAGTATACTGAAGAACTTTCTTTCTTCCAGCTTCACCTTCTTTTTTCTGAAGGTCTTGCAACTTGGGGTAGATTTGAGCAAGAAGTTGAAACACAATTTGTGCATTGATGAAGGGAACAATACCTAGCGAACATATTCCAAGGCGACCTATGCCTCCACCAGAAAAGGAATCCAAAGTACTTAATATACTATTCTCATCTAAATTTCCAACAAAGGCCTCCCGATTTACTCCACCAAGCGGTACATAGATTCCGAGTCGAGACAAAGCTAAAAAGCCTAATAGCTTTAGAAACTTTCCTGGTAATGGACCTTTGAAGAAGTCCCCAAAATCAATGCTAGTATCTTCAATTGCAGCTGTCAGTGACAAGAAATTCTAATCAAAGGCTAAGATATGTGGGTGCAATCAACAACGTAAAAACACAATTTTGTAGATAGATATGCTACCTGCGAACCCTCGAGCTGATGAAGTTTTGTCTTTCCTAGTATTTGAGGAACTTTCAAATGTCTCAAAGAACAAGCTCACCAAATTATCCCAGGATGATTTACCTGAATTGATACCCAACGGATCAAATACTGAACTATCACAGCTGGAGAAAGAGGATATCAGTCAGAAAGAAGAAAAGAGTAAAGGTTATGGAAATTGGTACAAAACTAATTAAATCGATGAAATGGAGCAACAGAAGATAGTAGTGCAAAAAGATCAAGGAAGGAGAAAGCTTATGTGAAACAGAAGATAACATTTTAAGATTTCATGCACAACCCCAACGACTTCACAACCGCAAAACCATAAGAAAGAGTAATGAATATGATCAAGACAATAGAACAGAGAAGTTATATTCAACCATTACAGACTTTGATGTCCCCGATAAGCATATATTTCTCTAGTTCAAGTTTGGGAGTTTTTTCTCTTTCTTTAGTGAGCAAGAGTCATAAGGTGGATAGCCTTTTTGTCGAACGGCCAAAGTTAAAAAAGAAAAAGAATAAAAACTTTCACGCGCAACTTGAATCTTTCAATAAGTCGCAACCAGCCTTTTCTTTATATATCCATCTGGTATCCAGTACCCATTGTCAAGGCACATTAAAGGGGAAAATGCCTCCTACTAGGGGTTTCTCCATTTCTAAGGCTCGAACTCGAGACCTCTAATAAAGGGTGTACGGATCCCATCCATACCACCAAACCATTTGGTCTACGCTTTCTCTAGATTCCCCTTGCATAAGACTTTTTATTTTGGTTTCAAGATAAGGGTCCTTTAGACCAAATTTCATATTAATTACTCCTATGTTTCCTCTATTGTTCTCTAATAAAAGTCTGTAAGGTCTCTAGTATGTTAGAAATTTGTTGGACTTCCTCATTGAAAAAGAAAAGAGAGACTACTTATTTCACATTCTTTAACTGCTGTGAGAAGGCACGGGAGAAAATATATTATTGATATTAGATGATAAATACAATACAAGAGGTCCCTATTTATAGCTATACACTACAAGGAGAAATTACTCCTCTTCCAATGTGGGACAAGACTACACTATACATATCTGTAAACTAACACCAACTATTACCGCTTGATACACCACATGGTAGAGAAAATGTCCTTGCTTGAGGCATGAGAAAAACTAAAGAAAGGAAAAAAAACTTATCTTCGTCGGAGAATTTCCGTCCCTCCCTGCTCGTTTCTCTTCGCCTTTGCTGTTGCTGGCAAACTCTATGATTGGTGGACCCATCTCCTTCTCTCGGTTTCTCTACCGCTAATCACTCTTTCTCAAATTCATTTCTTAGTCGAAAAGCCAAAACTCTAGGTCTGAAAAGAAAAAAAACCAAAACTCTGGATTTGAAAAGGGAAAAATCCAAAACTTTGCTCGTCGCTGGCAAGCTCCGTANAGATTTCTCCAAACTTTAACTCCTTGAGCAACTGCTTGACCCAAACTAACTCACACGTCGCCATAGCCATGGCCCGATATTCGGCTTCGGCGCTAGATCGAGCAACTACATTCTGTTTCTTGCTCTTCCACGAGACCAAATTACCTCCTACTAGAACACAATATCCAGACGTAGAACGTCTATCAAAAGGTGATCCTGCCCAATCAGCATCTGTGTACCCAACAATCTGCTCGTGGCCTCGATCCTCGAATAGTAATCCTTTGCCTGGAGTTGACTTTATATACCGAAGAATGCGAACGACTTCACCCCAGTGACTATCACAGGGAGAATCCATAAACTGACTTACAACACTCACCGGAAAAGAGATGTCAGTTCTAGTCACTTTGAGGTAATTCAATTTGCCAACCAATCTCCTATATCTCGTAGGGTCTCTAAGAGGCTCCCCTGTTCAGGCAGAAGCTTAGCATTCGGATCCATAGGATAGTCAATAGGTCTGCAACCCATCATTCCAGTCTCCTCAAGAATGTCTAAGGCATACTTCCGCTGTGAAATAACAATACCTGAGCTAGACTGAGCGACCTCAACAACAACAACAACAACAACAACCCAGTATAATCCCACTAGTGGGGTCTGGGGAGGGTAGTGTGTACGCAGACCTTATCCCTACCCTGGGGTAGAGAGGCTGTTTCCGATACGCCCTCGGCTCCATCCCTCCAAGAACTGCCCACCTTGTTCTTGGGGTGACTAGAACTCACAACCTCTTAGTTGGAAGTGGAGGGTGCTTGCCACTAGAGCGACCTCAATACCTAGAAAATACTTCAACCTGCCCAGATCCTTAGTCTGGAAGTGCTGAAAGAGATGTTGCTTCAGATTAGTAATACCATCCTGATCATTGCCTGTAATAACAATATCATCAACATAAATCACTAGATAAATACACAGATTAGGAGCAGAATGCCGATGAAACACAGAGTGATCAGCCTCACTACGAGTCATGCCGAACTCCTGAATAATTGTGCTGAACTTACCAAACCAAGCTCGAGGGGACTGTTTCAAACCATATAGTGACCTGCGCAATCTGCACACACAACCATTAAACTCCCCCTGATCAACAAAACCAGGTGGTTGCTCCATATAAACTTCTTCCTCAAGATCACCGTGGAGAAAAATATTCTTAATGTCTAACTGATAAAGAGACCAATGACGTACAACAGCCATGGACAAAAAGAGACGAACATATGCTACTTTAGCCACGGGAGAGAAAGTATCACTATAATCAAGCCCAAAAATCTGAGTATATCCTTTTGCAACAAGACGAGCCTTAAGCCGATCAACCTGGCCATCCGGGATGACTTTGACTGCATAAACCCAACGACAACCAACAGTAGACTTACCTGCAGAAAGAGGAACAAGCTCCCAAGTGCCACTCGCATGTAAAGCAAACATCTCGTCAATCATAGCATGTCGCCATCCTGGATGAGATAGTGCCTCACCTGTAGACTTAGGGATAGAAACAATGGACAAAGAAGATATAAAAGCATAATGAGGTAACGACAGGCGATGATAACTTAAACCGACATAATGGGGATTAGGATTAAGTGTGGATCGTACACCTTTGCGGAGTGCAATTGGTTGACTAAGAGGAGACAAGTCCGCAGTAGGTGCAGAATCTGATGCGGGGCGTGAATCACCTGGGCCTGATGCTGGATGTGGACGACGATGATAAGTCAAGAGTGGTGGAGCTGCAGAAGGTTGAGCTGGATTATGTGGAGGAACAGGAGCTATAGGTGATGGAGCTACAACTGGAGCTGTAGGTGGTGGAACTGGAGCTATAGGTGGTGGAGCAACAACTGGAGTTGTAGGTGGTGGAGCTGGAATGACTGAATCTCCAAAAGATGAAACTGGTAGTACCTCAGAAATATCTAAGTGATGACCTGAACCTGTGAAGTATGATTGGGTTTCAAAGAAGGNTTAGTATGATTGGGTTTCAAAGAAGGTAATATCAGCGGACATAAGGTACCGCTGGAGGTCAGGAGAGTAGCATCGATACCCCTTTTGTGTTCTCGAGAAACCCAGAAATACGCACTTAAGAGCACGAGGAGCTAACTTATCTGTTCCTGGAGTAAGGTTATGGACAAAACAAGTGCTTCCAAAGATACGGGGTGGAAGAGAGAACAAAGGTAAATGGGGAAACATGACAGAGAATGGAACTTGGTTCTGGATAGCTGAAGATGGCATACGATTAATAAGATAGCAAGATGTAAGAACGGCATCCCCCCAAAAACGCAACGGAGCATGAGATTGTATGAGTAGGGTACGAGCAGTTTCAATAAGATGTCTATTCTTTCTTTCAGCTACCCCATTTTGTTGAGATGTGTACGGACAAGATGTTTGATGAATAATCCCATGAGATTTCATAAACTGCTGAAATGGGGAAGACAAATACTCTCGGGCATTATCACTACGAAATGTGCGAATAGAAACCCCAAATTGATTTTGAATTTCAGCGTGGAAGGTCTGGAAAATAGAAAACAGCTCAGATCGATTTTTTATCAAAAATATCCAAGTGCACCTAGAATAATCATCAATGAAACTGACAAAGTAGCGGAATCCCAAGGTGTAACTGACCCGACTAGGACCCCAAAGATCTGAATGGACTAAAGTAAAAGGTGACTATGCTCGATTATCAAGACGCTGAGGGAAATGGGAGCGGGTATGCTTACCGAACTGACATGACTCACACTCTAGAGCTGACAAGTGAGATAAACCAGATACCATTTTCTGAAGTTTTGACAAACTGGGATGTCCCAACCGTTTATGTAATAAATCTGGTGAATCAGTAACAGGACAAGTTGTAGAAGGAAGACAAGATGTGAGTCCATGTGATTTAGCAAGGATAAGGTAATAAAGTCCGTTTGATTCACGCCCGGTACCAATGATCCGCCCCGTACTGCGTTCCTGTATAAAAACATGGTCATCAAGAAATAAAACAGCGCATTTAAGTGATTTGGCTAAGCGACTAACAGCTATGAGATTAAAAGGACTATTGGGAACATAAAGGACTGAATCTAAAGGTAAGGAAGGAAGTGGGCTTGCTTGACCTATTGCAGTTGCCATGGTTTGAGACCCATTGGCCATTGTGACTTTTGGAAGAGATTGAGAATACGAAATAGTAGTGAAAAGAGATTTGTTACCAGAAATATGATCTGATGCACCTGAATCAATAACCCAAGACTCAGCGGATGAAGATTGGGAGAAATAAGTCACACTATTACCTGTTTGAACAACAGAAGCTATCTCAGAAGATGTCTGCTTACATTCTTTATACTGAAGGAACTCAATATACTCTGCTAAATAAACCATCCGACTATTCAAAGCATCGGTTCCCATGTCGCTACAATTTGTAGTAGTAGGGTTAACTTGAAATAGTGAAAATAAGTAACTCCTGTGAGAAAGCTGAAGAAATAGCTTGAAAAACACTGTTTACAGCAGGAAAACAGAACAATGTTCTGTGCCGGAAATACTGTAGCTCGCCGGAAAATTCCAAAGTTGTCGGAATTTGTCGAAACCATGATGGATAGACTCGGAATGTGTATCAGAGAAGGGGTCGAGTGTGTGACATGGAGAAAGGGACCTCGTCTAGGGGGGGTGGGGAAATGGGGGCTATTGTTGCTTATGGAAGTTAAGATCCTTTCATGGAATGTCAGGGGGATGAATGACCCGAACAAAAGGGCCATCATCAAAGTGGGAGTTAGGTGGGAGTTAGGGAGTGGGGTGCCAATCTAGTTTGTTTTCAGGAGACTAAAATGGAAGTTTTGTCGGATGCGATCGTGAGAAGTGTCTGGGGAGGTAGTTGGGTGAAATATGACTGGGTCCCTGCAGCGGGAAGTGCCGGGGGCATTCTACTTATGTGGGATGATAGAAGTTTGGAGGTAAAGGAGATTAGGAAGGGAGCTTTCTCTTTGGCAGCTCTCGTCAAAGATAGAGTGAGTGGAGTGGAGTGGGGATTTGGGGGAGTGTATGGGCCGGTAGGGGAAGGGTCCAAGGTGTCTTTCTGGGAGGAACTGGCCAATATTATGGGGGAATGGGACATTCCATGGGTTCTAGGGGGAGACTTTAACACTATTAGATTCCCGGAGGAGAGATTAGGGTGTAGTGTGATTTCGAGGGCCATGGAGGAGTTTTCTGACTTCATCAATGATCACTTTCTCATTGACCTTCCTCTGTCAGGGGAAAGGTTTACTTGGGCCAGGGCGGAGGATTCCAACTCAAGGTCTAGAATTGATAGATTCCTGACATCTCCCTCATGGGATGAGCTGGTGCCGAATGCGCTGCAGATTCCTTTACCTAGGTTGACTTCAGATCATTTGCCTATTTTGCTAGATGGATGCAGAGGGAGGGGGGTGCGTGCTCCCTTCCGATTCGAAAACATGTGGTTGAAAGTGCCAGGATTCGGTGACAAGGTGAAAGAATGGTGGACAAGCTATGGGGTATCAGGGACACCTTCATACCGGCTTTCGAAGAAACTCAAATTGCTCAAGGGAGATATTATTAGGTGGAATAAGGAGGTTTTTGGGAGGGTAGAGGTTAAAATGAGGGAGCTTATGCATGAATTGGGGGATTTAGAAAGAGGGGAAGGGGCGGGGGAGTTAGACGAATCTGAGAAAGAGAGATTGGGGGAGGTTAAGAGGGAAATAGTCGAGTTAGCAATAGCTCAGGAGACTAGTTGGCGGCAAAAATCGAGGGCGCTCTGGCTAAAGGAGGGGGATTCGAATACCAAGTTTTTTCATAGGGTGGCGGTCGCAAATCGAAGGAGAAACTTCATAGAGTCCTTAGTTGTGGATGGGGTGAGGATTGAGGGAGAGGAGGAAGTAAAAGGGGCGATAGTGGGGTTTTATGAGAACTTATATAAAGAAGAAGTTAGTTGGAGGCCGACTTTGGGGGGAATAGAGTTCAACCATATAGGGGAGGGAGACAACGAGTGGCTAGAAAGGGTTTTCGAGGAGAAGGAGGTGCACGAGGCTGTGTCGTCTTGTGCTGGTGATAAGGCCCCCGGGCCTGATGGTTTCTCCTTGGCTTTCTTTCAGCTCTTTTGGGACACCATCAAGGGAGAGTTGATGGAAGCCATTGAATACTTCCATGCGAATGGTGTTTTCGAGAGAAGTATCAATGCTTCCTTTATTACTATTGTGCCTAAGAAAGAAGGTGCATCTTGTATCAGAGACTACAGGCCTATTAGTCTCGTGGGGAGCATTTACAAGATTATTTCTAAAGTGCTTTCCAACAGACTTAAGAAGGTTCTTGACATGACCGTTTCGTCCTCCCAGAATGCGTTTGTGGAAGGTAGGCAGATCCTGGATGCTGCTCTTGTGGCAAATGAACTTGTAGACTCCAGAAGGAAAAATAGAGAATCCGGATTACTGTGCAAGTTGGACCTTGAGAAGGCTTTCGATCATGTCAATTGGGAGTTCCTGGACTTCATTATGAAACGGATGGGGTTTGGGGAAAGATGGAGGGGATGGATCAAGTTTTGCATTTCATCAGTCAGATTCTCTGTCCTGGTTAATGGTAGCCCGTGTGGTTTCTTTGGTAGCTCCAGGGGGCTCAGGCAAGGTGACCCCCTATCCCCCATGCTATTCATTTTAGTGATGGAT